ACGTCACAGCGCGAGCGACGGCGCGTCGCCGTAGCAACCGCGCTTCAGCGCATGCGTCCCCGCCCGTTGCCAACCAGAACCCCGACCGCACCCACAACCAGAACCAGAACCAGAACCCCGCCCCCGACTGCATTCCTAACCCCGACTCCCGCGGGCGGGGCGGTGAAGTGACAGTGCGGCCCATTGTGACGCGGCCCCGTGCCCTCGGCTCCAGCCGCGCCGGCGCTGCGCCCCTCACTTTCCCTCAGGACTCTGATGGGACAGCACGCGAGCAGATCTGCGGTGCAAACCGCCCCTCGGGTCAAGTCGCAGCGCTTACCCCCGCCCATGGCCGCCCGGGCCGTGGCCGATCCCCGATCTCAGCCCTCTTCCTCTGCGATGGAGGAGAGAAATCTCTCCCGCTCCGCGGAGGCCGAGAAGGGCAGAACCCCCCAGGAGCCGCCTGTTGCGCCGCCCGGTGAGCGAGGGTCCCCGCAGGGCTGGGGGCCGGCGGAGGGCAGAGCCCCCTCCTCTCCTCACTCTGCTCTGGGCTCCTCTACCCCAATCCTGACCGCAAACATGAATCCCAGCCCCAGTGCAAATGCAGCCGTAGCCCCAACCTTAACCTCAACCTAACCCAACCCCAACCCTGACGCCAACCTTGACTCTAAACCTAACCCCAGCCTTAAACCAAAACCTGACACAATCTCAACCCAAACCTTAAACTTAACCCTAAACCTCACCCCAAACTCAACCCCAGCCTCAGCTCCAACCCTAACCTGAGCCTCAAACCCAACCTCAATCCTAACACTAACCCCAACCTTTCCCCCAGCCCTAACCTGAACCCCAGCCTCAACCCGAACACTGACCACAACCCTAAACTCAACTCTAATTCCAACCCCCCTGCACTCCCAATTCCAGCTCCCCGCTCGGACACCCCTGAGATGCCCGTGTGTGCCGCGGAGCGTTACGCGACAGACAACATCGAGGCCTTCATCCGGAGAACAGAGGTGACTGCGGCCGCTGCCATCGCAGCGGTGCCCCATCGCCCCCAGACCCATTTCAGCTGCAGGAGGGCTGTGCCCCCCTGGCCCCCCTGCTCACGCTCCCCCCACCCTCCGACAGCCTCAGAATGAGGAGCAGAAGATGAAATTCCTGCACAGCATCCGCACCATCTGCAACACCGCAGTGGAGAGGAACACGGTGCAGGAACTGCGCGTCTTCTGCCACCAGAACAATCTTGTGGAGAACATCATGGTGAGGGGCGCTGGGTGCTCGAGGGGGGCAGCAGGCGGCTCTGCTCCTCCCAGCGCTGCGAGCACTGAGTGCCCGGTGCCATCCTGCTGTGCTGCAGGTGCTGCTGGCAGAGGAGCCGCACGAGATGCTGAGCTCCGAACTGCGGCTGCAAGCGATGGCCGCCATCACCGCCCTCAGGTACTGCCCTGCTGCCGGGATGGCCCCACAGCATTCAGATGGCCCCACAGCATTCAGATGGCCCCACAGCATCCAGATTGCCCCACACCATTCAGATGGCCCCACAGCATCCAGATTGCCCCACACCATTCAGATTGCCCCACAGCATTCAGATTGCCCCACAGCATTCAGGTGGCCCCACAGCATTCAGATGGCCCCACAGCATTCAGGTGGCCCCACAGCATTCAGATGGCCCCACACCATTCAGATGGCCCCACACCATTCAGATGGCCCCACACCATTCAGGTGGCCCCACATGGCCTGTGTGCCCCCGCAGTCCCAGGGGAGATCCTGGTGGTACTGGGCTGCTGCTCTGCCCATCGGGGCTGGCCAAAGAGCTGAGGGAGTCCTGCAGCCCTGCTGGGTCTCAGCTCTAAAACTGATCATAACCAGACCCTAATCCTAACCCTAAGCCTAACACTAACCACACCCTGGTCCTCGCCCTATCTCCAAACTTAAACCCAACCCCAACTCCAACCCCAACCCAACCAACCCCCACCACAGCAGCTCTCAACACGCCCTCTGCCCCACACATCCCCATGGAGGAGGGGGTTCCTCCCAGCATTGCCCCCCTGCTCTGCGGAGTGCTGCCCACAGGGGGGTCCATTCCCCGTCCTGCAGCGCAGCGCTCTCAGCGTCGCAGTCCTTGTTTTTGCAGCAAGGTGGAAGGGGTGTTGGAGAAGAAGATCCCTCTCTTTGTTGTGTGCTTCCAGAGCGTCTTCCTGCTTCCTTCGGAGCAGAACCTGGACACTAACCTTTACTCTCAGGTGGGTGCTGGGCAGCTGCAGGACCCCCTGCCTCGCAGGACAGGGTCTTGCCGTGCATCCCCTATTGCCCTCCCCTCTGATCTCTCCCCATTCTGTCCGTCCTGCAGACTCTCTGGGCTCTGGATGAGATGCTGGACACCTTGGTGTTCATCCACCCCACTGCCAGCATTGGAGAGGAGTTGAAAAACGTCTTCCAGGTGAGCTGTGCCCGCGGGGGCCGCACGGTGGAGGGCTGTTCCTCCCCATCCCCACCACCCCAAAAACCTTCTGGGGTGATCCGGAGGGCCGCAGGGAGAGCAGCAGCTCCTCTTCCCACAGGTGCTGCTGCCCTTCACCTCCATGCAGAACTCGGCTGCGCGCCAGAGGGCAGTGGGGCGCATCTGGAAGCTGAGCCATTTGCTGGCGCATCACTGCCAGGAGAAGGTAAGGGCCTGACCTCATGGCACGGGGTCTTTGTCCCTCCTTTTCCCCTGTCTCCCCTCTCTGGGGATGCGCTCAACGTTCTGCTCTCCACGCACAGCCCCATCACTCCTCGGGACAGTCCAGATCCATCTGCTATGACGAGTTCCACCTGCCCGTGCTGGGGCAGCTGGTGGGAAGCCTCATCCTGTGCTGCGCCTTCCAGGAGGAGAAAACGCAGTGCTGTGCTTTGAGCGCTCTCCGTCACCTCTACACCTTTATCCTGCGGAGAAACCGTAAGAAGACGGCCGCTGACCGCCTGCATCCATTGCAAACGTCCCACGGGGCCGAGCGTGGATGGCGCTGCGTCAGCTGCTGCTCAGAGCAGTGAAAAACCCCATGGTGTTGGGGAGCTGCGCCCCACGGCCCCGCGCTCGGGGTGGGGGCAGCTGTCCAGCTCCCTGCAGGGCTCCCGCCGCTCACACAGCCTCGCCTCGCTCTCCTTTCCAGGCTGGGAATTGCAGCCAGATGAGCAGGGGAAGCAGGAGCAGTGGGAAGATGACCACGAGTTCTCCCTCACCTGGACCACCAACACCTCGGTCATTTTGCTGGTGAGGAGGGATCGCTGTGCCAGGACTCGTGGCCGCAGGGTCTGTGGGGACGGGGGAACGTGGCTGATGTTCCTTCCTCCCTTCTGCGTTCGTTCCTCCCCAGCGCTTTGCAAAGCACTTCCACTCGTGGGAGAAGACCGACCTCATCCTCCTGGCGCTGCAGGGCATGAAGGACTGCAGCAACTACAACACCCAGGTTGCTTCCACCTTGATGGCCATGCTGATGGTCAACTTCCAGCCTATGCACAATGATGTGAGCTGCTTGCCGGGGGGCTGAGCCCATGGCGGGTGGGGTTGAACTGGAGGCTGAGGGTTGGGTTGGGGTTGGTTGGGTCCTGGGGGTTGGGGTTGGGTTGGGTTGGGTGCTGGAAGGCTGTGTTGGGTTGGGTTGTCCTGCACAGCACTGGTCTGATTTGAGACTTCAGGGCGCTTGGCGCCCCTTGGGGACACCTGGAGTGAAGCTCTGCTGTCCCCGTGACCCTTCCAGGTGCGGCGCATCGTGACGGCCATCCACAGGAGCAGGAAGCTGATCACAGAGGAGAAGGCGCTGAGGCACATCCGTGGCACCTTCCCCTGGCTGGCCGCTGCCAACCCTCACGGAATGACACTCAGCCTGCTGCGCTGCTCCCCCACCTGTGACAAGTGTGCTGCCCCCACACCCTGTAGAGAGAGACCCCCACCCCACAAGGACAGGGACCCCCACCCCTTGTGGATAGGGACCCCCATGCCAAACGGAGAGAGGCCCCCACTCCTCATGGAGAGGGATGCCCACCTCACGTGACAGGGACCCTCACCCGATGCAGAGAAAATCCTCAGCCCACACATAGAGAGACCCTCACCTCACTCTTAGAAGGACCCCCACCCTGCACAGAGAGGGACCCCCAGCCCACTCTTAGAGGGGCTCCCGCTGAGGACGGCTCTGTGCCGCAGGGACATATGGGAGCTGTGGGAGTTGGCACTGTCCTCGGTGGACGTGGTGCCAAAGATGGTGCGGGAGCTGCTGCGTCTGCTGGAGATCGCGCCGCTGGGCCTGGAGACCGAGACCGGCACGCTTACCGTGGCCGTGAGTTTGGGGCTTCCCTCCTCCAGCACATGGAGGGGGAGCGAACGCTCCTCCCCTCTTCCCTCAACTCGGGGGAGCAGCTCAGCGCTGAGCTGTCTGGGTGCTTTCCGCAGGCGGCCACGGCGCTCTATAAGCTCCTGCAGAACCTGGAGTACGGCCCGCAGGTGCGGCTGCTTTTCCCGGAGCTCTTCGTGGTGCTCGTCATCCAGTTGGTGTCCTCTGGGGAGCTCGGTCCTCTGGAGGCCACCGCCATCATGGAGGAGCCATTCCGCCCAAGTGCACCCACCTCTGCCATCAGGTAGCGCCGCCGTGCCCGGCTGACCCCCGCTGACCCCTGACCCCACGCTGACCCCTGACCCCACGCTGACCCCTGACCCCACGCTGACCCCTGACCCCACGCTGTCCCATTTCCGTGCAGTATGGTGATGGAGGCGCTGCGCCTTTTGCTGCTGTGTGCTGATATGGACAACCTGGCGTTCTGCATGGAGACCCAAGACCTGTGGGCGCAGCTGCTGGGCGCTGCCACGTGGCGAAATGGCCTGCACTCCCTCGCTAAGTACGGCCCCAACCCCCTCCGTGTGCTGCCCCACACACTGCCCCACGCACTGCCCCACACACTGCCTCACACACTGCCCCACACACTGCCCCACACGGTGCCCTACACGGTGCCCCACACACTGCCCCACACACTGCCCCACACACTGCCCCACACACTGCCCCACACGGTGCC